TTCTTTTTCATAGAAATGCTGTGGTCGATGACGGAAATGATACTAACCATGGTACGTAGTGGTGCGTTTAGTCGCAGGCGATCTACGCTTTGACTAGGCTAGGAAATAATGCTCCAAAGCATGATATAGGAAAGCCTACCGTATCGGTTAGCACAGCAACCCTAACCTTCAGTAAATACACTAATTGAGAATGTTTTGTTTGCATCAAGCTGATTTTTTGCTTGTGAAACGAGAAGAATTTAGGCCTTAGCCTTCACTGTGCAAAAATGAAACTTTAGTTTCAGGCAGCTGCAAGAAAATTATTAATCTTGTGAGTTTTAAAGATCAACTTATGTTGCATGTTGCCCGCTTGAGGTGTGACACTACACTTTTGGAGCGCTCTGCCATGAGTCACTGACTTTGTCCATAAAAAAATGCCATTGTGTTTAATAATAATGTCCTTTTTAGAGTGCCTTGTGGATTTAGTAGTGATTTTTGTTAAAATCCTATGTTAAACTTTCAAATAGCATGAACATTTGCCGTCGTGGAAGCTAGTGCGTACACTGCTTTTGAAATTACGATAACGGAAAACTTGCAGCTTTACTGTTCTGGAGTGATGCAGAACAAACAACCTATAAAACGCTGTAAACTTTTTACCGCATAATATAGCTGGACTCTTGCCCCACGAATCCAGCGTCAGGCTGCTTGACCAAGAAGGAAGCACGCGACAAGCCGGCTGAAGAACAAACACCGTCGCATCAACATGTCTTTTATGAACAAGTCGTAGATCGTGAAGCCTGGAGGAGACTAACAAGAGTAGCAGACCCCGTATAGGGAAAGATGCAAGGATAAAAAAAATATAGCTGGACTCTTAAAATTTTCCAGAAGCAGAGACGAGTTTGCACTGGAGCAACCCAAAAGCATAAGGAATGTGCAAAAGAGTAAGAAGCATCAGCCGACCTGAATTTGACTTGAAAGAGTCATACTCTGGCCAAATCGACTAATCATGAGCGTTTAGAAAGTATTCGAATGGAATTATTTGAAATTCGACTATTCAGAGAATCCAGATTCGTATGTATGTTCAATTAGTCAAAAAGTCATTTTCAAATTCATTCGATTAGTCGCTTATTTGAAATCTCAAATCTTGCTACATTTAAGAAGTTGCATGCCATTTCTTTTTTAGCCTATGACACCCGCTCCGCCCCATGTACATGTGTGCCAAGTTTGGTGAGGAGCGGTTCAGAAATAAAAATTTCTATTGGGAACACACACACACACACACACACACACACACACACACACACACACACACACACACACACACACACACACACACACACACACACACACACACACACACACACACACACACACACACACACACACACACACACACACACACACACACACACACACACACACACACACACACACACACACACACACACACACACACACACACACACACACACACACACACACACACACATACACACACAGCTTTATATATAAGACACACTTATGTTCATTCTTGTGTCCTCTCGCTTAACGAATCTTATGATACACAATTCTAGGGTACAACTTGCACATATTGGGAACTGCTTCATTCTCGTTTTAGCTTGAAAGGCAGGTATTGAAAGTGCTTGTTTTCGTCATTTTCCGCGCTCTTCAACGATGAGGTGGATAATCGCGCACTGAACAAACTTAGATAAGCAAGAATTTTCAGGTATCTACCGAGTCGCTGCCGTTCAGTGAGAGCAACGTGCGCGAAAGACCGCGCTGAGAGATACAACATACGCAACAGCACCCCTCCCCAGGCAATGGCCTTTGATTTGCGCAGGAGATCGACGATAAAAGGTCTGATCGCATCGAGATTCGGCTTTGGCAAAACTATCTTTTTGTTTTTGTCCCGCTTTTGGTGCAATCTTGTACCGATGCGAGAAAATGTCTTAACAGGGATCCCGAGCTAAAAGCAGTCTTCGCCCTCCACCTAATCAGGCAACACGGCAAGTCTGAAAATAGCGTTCAATTGTCGACTTCGTTCGTTTCTTCCTTCAATTCTACTACATGCACACAGAGGTGCGATAGTGGGAGCCAATTTTCCACCTACACTTTGAGCTAGTACAGGTGACCGACTACCTTCACTTTTGAATTTTGAAGAAAAATTTTGCTGGACGACAAAAAAGGAAAATAAGCAAAACGAACGCAAAAGAAAGTATTGAAAGTGTTTTTCTATGTAATTCACTTTTAGACTCGTCGTCGCTCACCGCAAGCACTCGAAGGCCATCGCCGGCATGGACGCCTCTACGCCTCAGCATTCTCTACGATTTTGGAGAACAAAGCTTCATGTTGACTTTAAATAATTTAAAAGCTCTAACCCAACGGTCCTCTTTAGAGCCAACAACTGTGCGACCACAATGCCCTCTCTAGGCGCACAAATACGATGAATACAGCGGTATAAATATTCCAAATAACGTGTCAATCAAATGATGTGCTTGGAAGTGAGTCTCAGTGACTTTTATCGATTTTATTGAGTAAATTTTGTTGAAACGTAGTGCGAAGTAAGTTGGTCGATCCAGGCAGTAACTGTCGAGAACCAGAATTTCAAATGATAAAATAGCGAAAAATCACGCCGAATTTCCACTGCTATAAATTTGGAAGACGTCAGCAACTGCCGACTTCATAGGTTTCAAAGGGTTAGTGTTGTTCTACCAGAAAGTGAAAGAATTAGGTCGATTTGATATATGGCCGCCGAGAACAAAAATTAAAAAATTATGCCATCTTAGGTTGTTTAGTGACGGCTAACATTTGAACTCCTATAGCTTGAGCATGAAAGTATGTGATGTTGCAACTTTATAGATTTTGTAGTGTAAGGTTTGCTCTACTAGAATACTTCTTAGCCGCACCGATCCACTGAAACATCGCCGAAACAAGGCCTGGCACGAGCTGGGCAAGTGACAAGCTGGGAATCGTTTTTGGTGGAAAAAGCAAGGGGGAAATCGTTTTTGCGGGGTCCGGGAAGAAGTCCCGAAGAAGATTCCAAGTGCAAGCAAAAGAAGGTCAAATCATGCTTATTATCTTATACATCTAATTCATTGGGAAGTAGATAGTTTTCGTAACCCTCAACGCACAGCAGAGTTGCGCGCGCTACGCCGCGCCGCCGCTAATTGCCGCGTGCGCAACGTCGCATAAGCGATGCCTTTTAACAGCATGATTACATGATCAGTTCTCAATGCAGGCGTAACGATATAGCATCAAATTACGTAAATGAACGAAGACAGGCCAGTAAAAAAAGTATGAAATATCATGAAAAACTTAAGTAAATGTGTAATAAGCTTCCATGTTCCGTTTTCATAAAACCTGGGCATGTTCGCATCTTGTAACTACTTCTGTGCCATACAGGTTTGGTAGGTGGTCTTTATTCCACTCACACGGCCCAACAATTCGACGCTTCGTCTTCCTCAGAGGCTTTGAAATGGTTCAAAGTGTCATCCGTAACTCAACACCATCAAACATCGCCTCCAAACGAGCTAGTTTTGGGCTTTCCCTCAGTTTCGCTAGCAGAAATTGTGCAGAGCGAAGATGACGTTACGGAAGACCACCGCTATGCGTGGAAGTCCGCACGGAAGTGAGTGGTCGCGGCGGACGAATGAGTCATCCTATAGATACACATGCAATGTGACCTATAACTGGCATAGCGATATGAAAGAAAGGAAATCAGCAGTGATTGACAGGCACTCGTTTTTGTTATTCATTTCTGGATTCTTTGCAGATATCCAGAATGCTTCCAACGCTTTCCTAGCCAAAATCTCTTGTAATGATAATTGTGACCCTGCGCATTAATGCGAGTACGTAGATATATATAAGACATTTCAAAACCCCTTTTGATACTTTGAAAATACAATAGAGTAGCTCACTAGTGAAGCTTGAATGCAAATGAAGATTCATCACTGTGTCATCGTCATCGGGCTAGTATTCGCTGACTTCTGTATAAAAGCAGCAATTCTCGTCAATCTGATGTCATGCTCAATATTTTGGTGGCCGAAGTAGTCAGCAATGTAAATATCAAGATTAGTCAAACCCAAACAGATACAAAGATTTGGACCAACATCAACATCAGAATGAATATATATGTGAAGATTATGTTTAAACACTTGATTACTCTTTCTAATTTCGCAAATTTGCCAGAAAAACTGCAGTTTTCTTGGATGAGTAAACAATTCGATTACTTTTAGAAGCAAATTTCTTAAAAGTCTCAGAAAGTTTAGCAATTTGCTGCACAAAGAAACTTAGTCGTTATACTACAGTCCATATTGAAGTCTGTTGTCCAACTTCCCTCCACCGTTTGTACTATGATTCAGCTACGGCTCCTAACAGCCACTCAGACAATCGCCGGGGGCAGGCGGGCACCGGAAAAATAGATGGCTGACTTCTCGAATCCCGCTCGCGGATTTTTTGAGAGGAAATCAGGACTTTTCGAAACGTCGCTTGCTGAGTTCTCGATTCCTCAGAGATTCAGCAATATATCTGCAAAAGATAAGAGCGAAAAAAGATTCAACAGGCGGTCTCTGAGAAACTCGCTAACTATTTTCCTGGGATTTGCGAGCGAGATGCGAAATTTCAGCAACGCGTATTTTCCGGTGCCCGCCTGCCCTCGGCGATTGTCTGAGCACATAGCGATTGCAGCGCCATATATCATTTTTCCAAAAGCTTGCGAGAGGCTCTTGTCTGCAATCACTTTTTAGGAAAAGCGTTGATGGAGTTTTGGAATGAAATCGAAGCGATATCAGCCATAATTATATTATTAGTGTCATTATTATTATTGAGTTGGAAAGAGAAGAATGTCGTATTCTTGGAATTTTTTAAAATGGATATTGAATTTACATAATTGTGCAAATGAAGTTTACCTTTTGATGATTAAGATGGAAACAAAAAGTTATTAAAATCCCTTTACTTGCAGAATTTTTTCGCTCCTTCTTCCACACCCCCCCCCCCTCCCCCCTTTTGAGCTTTTCGAACTGAGCGTATTATTTTTTTCAGAATGGTCAAGAAATTCGTTCTGTTACTCATCGTTATCGTCGCTACCATTCCGTTGGCCTCTGCAGGTTTCTGGTACGACTTCTGGAGGGCAACGAAGCTGGTTCTCAATCAAGGGATTTGTACCGTAAAATGCGCGTCGGTGGTATGGATTGCTTACATGGCTACACAAGATGTTTGACTTTCTAAATCTAGAGTTGTTAGGCTACATTTTGAAAGTTTAATGCGGGTTGAATTACTTCCGGTCGTTTTGACTATTCTTTTGGCATGTCGACTATGTCGCCATACGGTAATTGTGAAGGGGTGCACACATGCGTGATAGGCAGGACGCTTTTCTTAGGTCATTGATAGTCTACAGGACGATGTGTTTTCTACAGGTGGTCCACATCTCACAAAGAGAGGATACTTAGTCGAAAGTACCAATCCAGATTGGACATATACCATCTTAAAGCGCTTGAAACCCTGATTTTAGATCTGTTGTTTTTAGCAGCGGAGCGATTTTGTAGAGGGAGTTATGAGGGCTGTTTTCTTCTGGGATTGGGGCGCCCTTTAGCAGATTTTCCCTATCTATGAGCACTGATATGAACTGGTGCAACTGGCTCAGTGTAAGTGACTTGCTCGATGAGGAGAGTGTCAAGGTTTTAGTCCCCTTCGCATGCAACTTTATCGCGATTTTTGCAAAATTGAGCTTTTAGATGGCTTTAGAGCCCTAAAGCCTGAGATTAGATGTGTTAGAAAACCAAAGTGATACGACTATCATAATCCTTGTTGTAATCCTCATTCAAATTACTTACCACTGAGCCAGTTGCACCAGTTCATAATCCTCTACAGTGCTCATAGATAGGGGGAAATCTGCTGGAGGGCGTCTCAACCCCAAAAGAAAGCAGCCCTCATGACTCCCTCTACAAAATCGCTCCGCTGTAAAAAACTACAGATTTGGAATCAGGTTTCAAGCGCTTTAAGATGATATATGTCTCATCTGGGTTGGTGCTTTCGACTAAGTATCCTCTCCTTGTCAGATAATCGCCGGAGCACGCGATCGCAGAAACGCACTTTTCTGCAAGCGGTCAGCAAGATTTTGGGACTTGGCCAAACCTTCAGCGAGTGGTACTTCCGTCTTCTGCAATATAAAATTTTCTGCAAGCACTCATCAAATTATCTCTTTAAGCAAGCGCTCTCCAAACTTTCAGCAGGCGCTCGGACTCTTTCGACAGAGTTTCGGGCGTACGGCGAGCAAACTTGAGGCTCTGTGTGGCAGAGGCTCAGACAATCGCTGGGGGCAGGCAGGCACCGGAAAAATAGATTGCTGATTTCTCGCACCCCGCTCGCGGATTTTTTGGAAAGCAATCAGGACTTTTCGGAAGACCGCTTGCTGAGTCAGCAAATTTTTGAGAGACCGCCTGTTGAATTTTTTTTCGCTCTTATCTTTTGCAGATAAATTGCTGAATCTCTGAGGAATCGAGAACTCAGCGAGCGGTCTTCCGAAAAGTCCTGATTGCTTTCTAAAAAATCCGCGAGCGGAGTGGGAGAGGTCAGCAATCTATTTTTCCGGTGCCCGCCTGCTCCTGGCGATTATTTGAGGGTGTCATCGATGGGTTTGATTACCTGAGTTTGGGGTATTTGCTCCTTAGCGGAAGGTCCTATGGTCTGTGCAATTTTTCACAAAGGGCCGTGCGGCTCATAATAATTTTGCATTCTCGCGAAAAGTCTGGGAGAATGCGGTTACTGCGCCGCAACTATATAGAAAAACCGCGATAGTTCTCCTAGAAATTGGCCAACAATAATCCAATTTTCTGCAAGCGAACCGCAGAAAATAGCGAGCTAATTTTCCGGTGCCCGCTTGCCCAAAAATTGCATGGCTACCCCGGCGTTTATTTGAGATGGAGAGTTACGCGAAAAAAACCTATAATTTGCAGAAAAGCAAGTCTAAATACAAACTTTTATTTTCGTCGATAGATCACATTTGATTTATAAACCTTGTTTCAATACTAATTTCGTATTTTTCAAGAAGCTTTTGGTTTGTGACGAAAGTTTGTCGCAAGCTTCCACTAAAGCTGTGTTCAATCGAGCAGGCTTTCTGCTTTGAAACGACTAACTAGCGAAATCCATAGATTGAGATCGGGTAAGTTTTCTTAGGCAGACCTCCTTCTTCCTCGAGTGCCTTTACTGCGCTATGGACTTATGCCAAAACTTGCTAAAAAGCGTAAGCAATAGACATCTTTGTTTTCTTAGGCTCAGGGAGTTTACATCTTCTGAAATTTGTTTCTAACGGAATTCTGCATTGATTCTGACCACTCTATCAACAAAAACAGGCTTTGTCTCTTCTTAACGTAATCAGCTCAGACCACGACCGATCTTGAAAAATGAGACCTTTTCGCTTTAACAATCCTTGGAGTTCATTTTGCCGGCAGATCCCGCTGTTCCGTGAGTTTCTGATCAGTTCAACAGTGACTTCTCTGTGGAAATCCGGTTAATCTTCTCGCTTTGAATCTCTCGCATTTTTGCAATTGAGGTTTTCATCTCGTTGGTAAGATGCTTGCTGTCCTTTGAAGATTTATACAAGATCGCCTCAATTGGTTACTGCACAATAGAAATGGCTTAACCTTTGTTCAGTTCAGGAATTTGGTTTGTCTTTTACAACTTTCGGAACCCTCCCTTTGGACGACTTCAAATCTCTCCTAAAAACGCTTTATGATGCAATATACTTGCATCAGCGTTTTCAAGCGCACGTGATGTAGCTTGAGCGCCCCCGAATTTTGAGAAGCCGACACATGCGCTGTGCAGAGCCGACTACAGGCTAAGCAATCGTCGAGCGAGACCTTCCCTACCTAAAAACAAAGTGTAAGACTGGTCACATAAGATCACGAATTTGTTGGAGAAACCAATAACGCACGGAATAGCTAGAAGTAAGCGAATTACTAACCGAAAATGGATCCTGTAGCTTGTAACACTCATGTGATCACCCTTTATGATATCGTTACAAGGCAGACGCCCCAATGAATAAGGCTTTCCATAGAGAAAAGCAGGTTTACACGATAATCACCAAACATTCGTACAGTTGAGTAGATTTCCTGCCTAATATAGTGTCCCTGCAGAAGCGACAACGGTTGTGCGTTGATTGCGGTTGCGAGTCGACAATGTTTTCTAGTGTTTTCTTCCTTATTCTTCGCCTTTTAGGTGACTAGTTGCTAGTGAAGGAGAAAAGGTAAGCTGAAGATTAATTTCTGTTTTCTTAGTAGTTGTGCTATCACTTATTCTCAGATAATCTACGTGGAAGCCACGTCGCGTCAGTTTTCTAGGTATTTTCCGTCACTTCAAGCCCGTTTCTTCTTGTGAAGCATTTCTTTTTGAATGTTATTAGGCTGTGCAGCAACTTCGGCTCCTTTCAAAAAGAGATAGCATCTAACAAAACCCGAGTGAAGATAAGACGATAAGTCATGCGTAAAAGCCTATTAGCGTTCAAAAAAAGGTTTCAAAAGAAGCAAAGGCATCAAGTTACAGAAATATACACACGAAATTGACGCGAAGAATATGGATTACCTGAGAATAAGTGATTAGACATTATTTAGAAAACAGAACTTACTCTTCAGCTTATCTTTTCTCCTTCATCAACAACGAGTTATCTCTAAGGCAAAGAATAAGGGAGAAAACACTAGAAAATTTCGGAGACTCGCAACGGCAATAATCGACGCACAACCGTTGTCGCATCTGCAGGGACACTATATTGAGTAGAAAATCTACTCGACTGTAAGTGGTTCACCTAATGTGCAAACCAAAATCTAAAAAACTGTGCTTCTCCAATTATGGAGCTGAAAATCTAAAATTTCAAATTTGGCAACCATATGTTAAATATAATACATCAAATTTACAGTTATATTGCTTTCTGCAATTATAAAATTGCAATTTGTCTTCATGTTGCTTATAATCGTGGTTTAAGAACTTCAGCAAAAAAATACCCAAATTAAAGGCAACTTAGATTTTCAGCTATCTTATTGCTTGCTTTCCAGCATATAAAAACTCAGTGAATGCATGGGTTAGGTAGGTGAATGTGTGTTCCACTGTCTGTTACACTCTAGTTATTACTATTCAAAAAATCCGAAGCTTTTGACAAATCTTAAGTTCAAGGCATTTTGACGTACGGAGTGAATCTGAAGGTCAAGATTTTTTTTGATTTTTTTGGAAGTTAAAGTGGAAAAACGTGATAGAAATTATTCTCAAACTTGATACAAATGCCACTATGCATATATTAGGGTGATCCAAAAGTGAAGTTGCACCTTGATTTTCAAACATTCTTCGAGATCTCTTGATTAGCTATGAACAACCAGCAGTTTGAACGCTTTTGTATGAAGTGACCTTCGCAGATTATTGACAGCACCTTGCAGCGCCTCATCGACATTCCTTCGAGCGGAGCTTTAAAGAAGTCAGATAGACTTCTTAAACGCCATCGGGATTTGTGCTGCTCTGAAAGTCCCTCGACATATGGTATACCATTCGAAAAAGCTTTCCAAGCTCTGTCTAATGATTACTTGAGTATTCAAAATAACCCATTATTTTATACAAAGAAGGCATTTTCGAAAAAGTGCGGTGTACGACGCAGATTTTCAGATTAAAATTCATGTTTTGGCCCGTAATTTTTGAAAATGAGAAAAGTCGAAGTGATTTGCATACGCAAGGATAGAGCGTAAAAAGCACTATCAGAAAACAACTGTTAAGGTTGAGCTTATTTGATTACCTTGATGAAAGAATAAGTAATATGTTTTCTGATAAAACGATTCCCATGAGTATAGCGGGCGTGACCGTACAGACATTTGAACACGTTGGAAAACCTGTTGAACCTCCATTCTAAGCATTCCTTTCTTTACTCTCTAGCTGCCAAAAACTGCCACGCGCATACGTTGGAAAATGTCGGCAAAGCTCCGCCCGCTATAGAGTGGGGAAAGGACGATACCCAATGCTATATCTTCTGTTTTAAAGCCTTGGGACCACCGAGCTATCGTGGATTTAGTGACAGTCCTCTCAACCATTGCTGCGCAGATATCTTTGGTGGGCTCATTTGTTCTACTGCGTCGCTGCTGCTCAAAATTCGAAAAACTTGAAGTGATGAGCTTTAATTTTAAGCGCTTATAAAAATAACGCCACGTGACAGTGCCCAACTATGATCAGAAAATCAGAAGGTTTTGTGATGTACTAATCTGCCAAAACTTGCTTCCAATCAGCTTTTCTATTCGAGAAAACTGCATTTATTCTCTAGGTGCCCCATTACTTTTGGATCACCCTAATATTATATGATGACCAGGGTGGAGGTTCGCACGAATTTTTTGACGATGATTCGCTTTTTATAGAACGATCCATTTTAGCTTTTGGCTTCAAACTTGGCCTGGACCATGATTTGTGCAAATGTTAGGTGGTCCTTTTAAAGCTTGCTTGCTTTATCGAAACTACCCTGTCCACAAATATCCCCCACACTACCTTATCTCCAAATATTCGACTATTCGACCCTACCTTGTACGCTGGAAGAGAAAACGTTCAAACAAAGAGATGAAGCAAGTTGAAACGTCCTCTTCAAAGAGTAGGTCTTTGCGTGCGTACTTCCATGCTACATGGATCTTGTTACTTGCTCTGTATGCGATTATCATAGCTGCATCATGGAAGGCTATCAGGTGAAATGGGTGCTATAACATTTGAGATATTGAGATGTTTCACTGTATTTTCTGTAGGTTGATTTGTTTTCCTGAAATTGATGATGATTATGCGTCGAAAAAAGGTACCTAAAGAGTGTCGATCGTGTATGCTTTTAGTGAACGCTCGGTATGCAACGGCTGTCCTAAAAGCTTTGTCTTTTTCCTTGAACATTAAAAACTCACAGAGCAATGGCAGACAAAGACTCAAGTATTATTTGAATCTTCAATTTTCTTTCTGATGGCTATATTTTCTCCCTGAACTATGCAGTAGTTGCAACGTTGCCATGCTTCTCGACAGCCTGACCCGAAATTTGTCCAAAATTTTGAACTTTTAATCGACTAATGTAGTTTGAAAAAAACTTTTGGGTTTTGCTGATTTGAGATTTCCTCGTTCATGTTCTGAAGTCTTTGATAATTGTTTACCTGGGAAGAACCACCAGTCTTGAGCACGTGTATCGCATAGACGTACTGAAAACATCATAAAAACATCATTCGCTGTAGTTGTCTATTACCATACATGCGATCTTTGAAAAGACGATTGGATGCATTCAAAAACACCGTCACATAATCAGAAATTCTTTTAATTCTCTCCGAAAGTCTAAAAGTCTAAAACAGTCTGAAACAAAATTTTTGAAAATTAGTCAACTTGGAAGGTAGAAATGACTAGAGTAGAATTCTGGCAATTATCAAAAAGCGTACACTATGTTGTATGTTCCAAAAATGTGACAGTTAAAGAGAGAAGATGTTGAACCGAATGCATGTTTATATGCATCAGTCTTTGTTACACAAAGTTTCATGGCCATTCGACAAAACGGACAATTTCGGGACAACTTATTATCTCAGATGCTTTTTTATTTTAAGCCAAGTAAAGCGTCTTACAGCGAACTCTATCAAAAAATTTTGCAGCAGCTAATTTTGAAAATCAATTTGAGCAAGAGCCCTGCGTGATGGCAAAAAACACCTTAGAGAAACTGGCCTTGAAGACAGCTTTTCGCCAAAGTAAAGTTTTGGCTTTTGTAATGATGTTATAGTAAAACCACTACCCAAGCGGTGACTGATTTTCGGAGCGGGTTCTGCAGGGCTAAAATTTGCCCTGAAACTGGCCTGAATCTTGCGGTAGGCCCGGATGCCGCCCGTACAGACGGCGTGGCAGGAGTTCCCAAAGCCTAGCCGCTTTTGCTCGCAGGGGTACTTGGCACCTCCAATATTCCCTCGAAGGACATTAAACCTCGGGGCCAAAGGGCAGCTCCGCCCATCAGTCCTCCCTCCAGGTGCCCACATTCTCGTACACGCATTGTAAGACGTGCTACATTGTATATGAGGAATGAAACTGAAATAAAGAAACAAAGAAAAAATTCTTGGTTAGTATAAGAGTTTAATGTCGGTAAATGACTGCAGCTGAATTTCAGCTTCAAAATGCGTAAATGACTGCAGGTGAATCCCATCATTTGGAGTTATGCTTTATTCATGTTTGCGGATAAAATGACGCTTTCTTAAAAACTTGTAATTGCTCGCCCTTTAGTGAGTTTATGGGCTTATCGTACTTATGTAAATTAAGCAGGAGTTATGGGTCTTCCAATCACAGATAACAGAGAATTAGTCCATTTTAGCAAGTTCTGAAATTCATCTAAAAATATAGCGAATTCCATGTCTTGCAAATTTAGTCTCGTATTTGGAACTTCTTAGCCAACTCTTCGATCATGCGACGAAGTTTGGTATCAAGTACATCGAGTGTAGGAAATACTACACTTGAAAATGTCTTTTTGATAATTTGGATCTTATTAATCATTAGAATAACTGGAATGAGACACTCATTTGAATATATAATATGATGGCAGGCGAAAGTAGAAAAGTATATGTGTTCACATATCCTAATTGTTGGAGGAAGCGTTAAGTTGCTTGTTCGGAGACTTTGATATATTCCTTTCAAAATATGTCCTTCTAATGTTGAGAAAGTAATTGGCTCTTGATGCTAAATGAATTTACTTGAATCAGATGACCAGTAATGTACAGTCGATCAACTAGATCCTTTAATATTTCAATTGACCGGTTTTCTATTCAAAAAATTCCCTGTGATTTTTCTCTTTTGAAAACAATGTTCATATGCTCTTTACAAAAGGACGGCGTAGCAGTAGTTTCCAAGCCGCCTCACTTTAGAAATGATAACCATGATCTTTGTTTGCTCCAATTTTTCGCTTTTTACCTCAATGGAGAGACCGGTGTTTTCGCTACTTGCACACCTCACAATGAGTCTAGTGAATGGGTGGAGCAATAGGCGGGGCCTGACCTTTGAGGAGCGGAGGTGCTAGAACCCTCCTGGGTGCGAATATTGGCGCGAACTTCGTGCGAGGAAAGGTGCTAGGAACTCCTGCACGCCCTCCGCCCGCACAGCAATCTCGAACTACAAGGCTGGAGCGCGCATAGCGCACGCAATCACGACTGCTGGGTTCATGCGTCCGAACGTTGGCGGACTTATGCTCTAACTCGAATCTGGGGTCTAGGAAAAGTCGAACGGTAGCGGTCTTTTAGTAGGAACGCGCTCAATTTCTCAAAGCCAACGATGTCGCTATCATTGCTATTTGTTGTCATTGTCTTAGCGAAAAAGACAAACTGGAGGTGTTTTGGCAAATTTCTCAGAGGGTTGAAAGTAGGATAAAATCTACGAAATAATTATAAAAAAACTAAGTGAACTGTCACCCTCATAATTTTATTAGGATAGCAATCAACAATTATGGATCCTTAACATTCAAAAAAACGTTTTTCATTCTCTTAAGTACTCAGCATGCAGGATCCTCCAAAGAGCTCGCCGCTTGTTCTCCAGGTGCGTCCGTGGAAGGCAATATTCACTTCGCACCTACCTCGCACCTATATCGACCTATCTCGCACATTTCTGCATTCGTTTCCCTCCGGACAATCGCCTGGTTTCTCCTGGCATAATTAAAAAGGACAGCACATAAGCGACGAGTAAATGATTCCAAAAAATAATGAAATTGTGAAGGGAAGTGTTTCCAGTCCTTCCATAAGAGATATGGTAGGTGAGAGTAGTGTAGAAGCTGATCATGTTTGCTCGAGGACGACGGATTAAGTTACAAATATCTTGAAAACGACACTCCGGGTTCAAAGTCATTTTTTTCGCACCTGAGCTCGCCATATTTACAACTGATCTTATGCACTGACTCTTCCAAGTTGGTATGTTTCAAGAAAAGATTTGGAGCAATTGCCATTCATTATCCTTGCTTGGTTCCTTTCTCATGGCTATGTTAGTTCAAATTTCTCTTTTGTGCGCATCTTCTCTGGAAAATGATTACAAATTTTTCCATCTGTATTTTTCCATGCATAATTTTTCCAAATGAGCGTTGTAAATTAATTAAACCTTCAATTAATGTTACTTCACCTACCACATCTTCAATGCCCATCTCCAGTGCCCACGTTCACAAGCAGTTTTCTTTTGAGTCTGCTTATTTCAATGCTTATTTTCACATCATTTTCATTCTTTTAAATATTGACTCGTCGCTTATGTTCTGATCTTTCTAATTATTGGCAGAAGAAGCGATTCGATTACCTGGAGGGAAAATGCTTGAATATGTCAGAAAGAGGAGAGTTGCTTTTACGAAACAAGTCACTATTATGTAAAATTACGTCTCTATGCGATATGATTTTCATTTCCTGATGGCTAATTAACGAGCACCTACGCAGTCGTTAGCGGGGCTTTTGTTCTTCTGGGAAGGATACTTGGTGATTGTGGCCTTTTGCAATGACATGTATACCAGTAGGTGCGTCTTGGGAAACTGATTTCAAATCTATGTTCAATATCTGCTGTGCTACTCCCTGAACAAAGTTATGAACTATTTCCATATTGATTTTGCGAGACTCAGGCAGTCAATTCGTCAGTATCCAGGCTTTTTAGACTTGATGTATCGATGAAAGTTTTCTTGAGCTCAACGTAAAGCTCTACTTTATATGTACGCTCTTTTGTAGTATATATGCGAACATTCTAACAATACTGGTAAATCCTGCACCGAAAAAAGTGCAAATTTTAGTAAGTGCAAATTTTGGTGACAAGAAATGTTCATAACTTCTTACGGAAGAGCGCACAGCAGATAATGAAAAGAGATTTGGAATCAGCGCTTCAAGATGCATTTAATGGTTTAGTTTCATTTCAAAAGGCCACGGTCACCAAATATCATCTCCTTGTGAGTATGACACTCAATCAATGCTACGTTTATGATGAATTATAGTTGGTTATGGCGATTTTTGGTGATTTATGGTGATTATGACGATTTTTTAATAACAATTGAAAAATTTACAGGATTTTGAAAGACTGTTCACAATAATGCTTTTTCAGTTCTGCCCCGTGTGGGAAAATGGGAAGTGTACTTGCAATTCACTTGCATGCCATGAGGAAGTCATCAAGACAATCAAGCACCTGGCTTCGTAGCCTTTTCGAACCGATGTTCTAGTACCTCTGCATGCTTGTGGTACCAACTCAATAAATGTTTCTTGGTGAACTCACCTTTCTCAACATTCGTCTTGCTTAGCAGAGATTATTTTTCTACGGTTGCAAATTCTGAAAAGTTCATCAAATAAAATAGAAAGATTGAATTTTGAAGCATCAGGAAAACCTACGGTGTTAGTAGATTGATTTATCAAATCAGCTAACTTCAGTCTGAGAATTTTCGACAAAAGTGCCTTGTACTGCATACTATACTTTGGTCCTAATCGAATGTAAGTTTGATCATTCAAATAAAACATTCAGATTATTCGCATCCAAAATTCGTAACTCGGAGTTTCTCATTTTTGAATAAAATTCGAAAACTAGAATAATGAAATCAATTCAATCATCAACCAGAAAAATCAAATCAAAAAACGGGATTTGGAATAAAATTCGATACTTGGAACAAAAAACGGAGTTTCGAATAAAATTTAAAACTCCAATAATAGAAAAAGAACTTCAAATAAAATTTGAAAAGTCAAGTTATAAAAAAAGGAATTCAAATAAAATTCGAAGACTCGAACAATCAACAAAAAAGGGTCTTGAAAAAATTTTATTCAACTGTTTTATTTGATACTCTGTTCAAATTCGTGTTCGAATGAAATTCGAGTTTGGTGCAGAGCCGACGGCTGAATCATCAAGCTCACTTCGTCTGCGATTTTCTCTGCAAAACTCGATAACGCAGCCTTGAAGGCAGCGTCTAGGCAAGCCTGGACACGTGGGAATCCCACATGGATAGTAATTTTGGGGCCCTAACTAAGCCACTGTTCAACCGGCAGCTCAGGTAGTGCTCTAACGGCTAAGATAATCCCCTCGAAACTGGACCCCTCGATCTTATTTCGCATGAATTCATAGCGCAAAGCGTGGTCCTGGCGCGAAACTGCCATGGGTCCATGCAAATACGATCACGGGGTCCAGTTTCTAGGGGAATATCTCAGCCGTTAAAGCACTACCTTCGTGCCGCTTGGGCTGTGCCTTAGTTAGGGCCCCAAAAGTACTTTCCACGTAAAATCCCCATAGGTCCAGATCTGCCTGGACGCTGCCATTAGTCAGCTTTGAACTGTATGGGGATTCGCACTCCTCCAACCGCTTCCGACGGTAAAAATTAGATGCAGCCCAGACTGCGGACTATAGACTAGACGGTGCTGATGATTTTTTTAGTTGTATTACCTTGCAATTGAGTAGTGTTCACTAGATAGTACGTAATAATTTTGTTGTCACAGTGCACACAAGATTTTTATAGTCAAGAGACATTCCAGCACTAGGTCCTATAACCTTACCAACTGTTAAAGACTAAAATCACACGAAGATGGCTGCCCACATCGAGGCATACGAGCTTTGGTATAAATAGGCCCTTAACTTAACTTTGGCTGGGGTGGAAGTTGGTACGGGGGGGATGTACTGTTTAAAAATAAAAAATAGTTTATCGATTTTACAGAACTTGTGTAGTAGACTTTTTGTGGACGCTGAGTTTTATAATTTTTGTAAGAGATTGTGAACTGATTGAACGGGTATTCATCTTTTGAAAACATCGAATATACGGGTCATATATCGAAAGCTGTTCACTATCTGCGAAACGCCTTTCCGAGAGCAAATAGCGTTAGTGAAAGCGAATGCAAAAACATTCATATCGACAGAGATCAAACCGGCATTCATTGTGCAGTATCGAGAGCGCTAACCAGTGGACCATTCAACACCTTTAGCATCTAGCAATATCACTCGTACTTGTTTGAAGGCAGTGTCCAGGCTAAACCTAACTCCCTCCGATTAGTGTCGATCCTGAATGTAGGCCCAAGAAAAGGGGCATCTGCATTGGTCCGGTCTTCTAACGTTGTCTCTGAATGGAGATGAGACGCCTGGAGTTCCCTGGCTGGGCGGAGTCTGATATCAGAGGGTGTAGGGCGTTAGGCGACAAACCTAATTGGACCCCAAAGAACTCCCGTGCAAAACGTCTCCTCCGCCAAAAACAGGGGGGTGGGGGTCGAGGCCGATACATTACCCGAAAAAAAAATGGTGCATAGTTTTGAGTTACGGGATTACGTTGCTTGCGTTTTGCACGTTTTGTCCCTAACGCTTGCCCTCCATATCAGACTGCCTCCCAACACGTTTTGACATGTACTGAGCAGAAGCAGAAGGTGTACTCTGCTGCAACTGCACATGGAGTTGCAGCTCCTCCCGCTGGCATGCCGACGGGGACGAGCGATTGAAACTTCCGCGCCCTCAAGGCAGGGTCCCCAGGAACCGAGTTTTTTTGTGAATTTTGGAGAGTTTGAAGTTCGGAACTGTAATCAGTTCCACGGAAAGGCCCCAGAATGAAGAAAACATGGGGGCTCAAATTCTGGGTGGACGCTGCCTTTGCGAATCATTCCGCAAATAACAGCTTTGGGATCAGGGTTTCACGGCTAATTTCGTGACAAATGTCACCAAATGGCCACGGCCACCAAGTACCCTTTCCCCGTAAGAAAATAAGTCTCTCATTTCAACTAGCTAGCAATCTCAATACCGCCATTGGTCCACAACATCTTGAGCAGAATAGATAAGAAATGTTAATTCCACCCGTACATTAGTAATGTTTTTTGATAAACGCCTTCCAAGTTCATCTTCGTCCAAATCATAAAAGTTGTCCTCAAAAAATGACGTTGACTTAGATTTCAAGCATTAGCTTTTCGTGTGAACCAATCACTGATACCGTCCTTGTTATCAGGCCAACCGCTATTCTCAATAGCAGCGTTGCAGAACCTCGTGTGACAACCGTCCTCTAATGTGAAGCTCTCCTTGGAGAAATCCAGGTTTTGACGGTTTTTCACCTGGCAAGCACATTCTAACCTACTCTCTGACAAGCTCATCCTTCTTTCGACAGGACTAGTGGCTCGAGCTGTCATCCACAGATTTTAGAATATCAGCTTTGAAAGAAATTTTTTTGACTTAGTTAAGCTTATTAATTGCCATCTGAAAACAGCGCGGTGAAAAGACCTGAATTAGAAAATTGATGTCGAAGTACTTGGTTTTCTGACTTGCTCTTATTAATCAATTCTCCTTGCTGATAAAAGCTTTTGCTTATCGCAGGATTGTCCAGATTGATTGCATAAAATTGCCTTAGTGCATACATGATTATACCTTCACATGTAATTTTTTTGAGATAATCTGTGTTTAATTGAAGAAGTCGCGTTCTCAATGTTATGAAAAAATGAAAAAAGGAGAAATTTGAACCTCGTTAAAATTTGCAGGCAGTAGAGCATTGCATGAGAAGTCCGTGATTGCACACTCGTCTTGTATAATTGACACTTAGCAGTAATTTGTGGTAACAAGCTCAAATCTCTTTTGATCTTCAGTGGGCTTCTTCTACAAAATGTGTTGAAAGAGGGGTTTTCCGTTATTCATTCCCATTTTCAAAAAAAATGCTTCTTTCCTACCAAATTTGGTAAAACTTCATAGGATGGAGAGGGAGCCTCCTGCCACGTGTCAAAAAAGGTCATTTATAGTTGATTCGTTGACCGCACGGACTGGACATCACTGCGGAGCACGCGCCACAAGATAAAACGTTTGCCCCAGTGCAAATTCCCATTGTCTGCTCTCGCGACAACTTACCCGGCCGTGCGTGGCCCGTGGCCCGCGTTTAAACAGCAGTGCGGTCAACGAAACGACGATACATTTTTAACAAGTTTTACCAACTTGTTTAGCCTACCTATCAATATAACTCCATTCATTTCACTCCTTTTTTAGTCAACTGTTTTACGAATGAGCTTTAACAATATGAAAATGACAATCTGTTCGCACTAAACGTATTAAGTTTTACCAGAACTGAGAAGTGAGCTATTTCTATTATCGAAACCATCACACAATCGAGAGCTAGTACTTCAAACCATCATTTGTATTCTTTCCCGGCTAAATTCCTATGCTGGAAACATTGGGAAGAGCAGGATTTCTTTGGATCACTGCTGAGCTGAAAGGAATATAAAAATGAGCTTTTCGCGGATGAAATGCGATAAAATGGACTTAGTCCATGCGGTGCGATAAGGTGTCGCACCCGCAACTCATTCATTCCATAAATAATGCCCTAGAAATCCTTCTTTAGCTTGTCCTAGGCAGGCGCTATACTTCCCGAGGAGTATAGCATGGCGACGGGCGACCGCCAGTCGCCAGTACTGGCGACTGTGTCTACTATGCGTATCGATCGCTAACAAGTTACCACACGTCCAATCGATACATATTTGATGTGTAGTCGCCAACACGGGCGATGGCGATCGCCCGTCCTAGCGTCTGGCGATCCAATATCGGCGACAAAAATCGCCAGTTTTACACGTACTTGATGCATATCGATCGTCGCCATGCTATACTCCTTAAGGAGTATAGCGCCTGACTTAACCTATTTTTCCTCATTTCTTACATGTCACAAATTGTCACTTATATCGATAACTATGCATTACACTCAACTACTTCCAATTCAACACAGAAAGTAGTTTCCAGTTCTCTCGGGACTTCTAATAATCTGCCCTAGAACAAAGTCGAAAATCGTATTTTGCGCAGAAGGGAAATTTTTGTTATACTTGCAATACGAAAAAACGCTAAGCTTTCTTAGCTGAAAGAAAACCTCAGACTGCACGACACTATAGCTTTTATCTCCAAATCAGTGAAATTAAAGATTTACAAAAGATTGATGGCATCGCATGTGCTTCAGTTAGCTCTTTCTTCTCTTTTAACACTATTATTCAATTATAACTTTATTCATTCTTCAACCTTAATCAAAGCAACTTTCAAACCATCTCAAACGCATAATGGGAATAGTGCCAAGTGATTGTTTTTTCTGCTATTCGCAGTTTTTTTTTCAAAGTGAATTCTACAGATTTCAAATCGTTGAGCAAAAGTTGTTGCGAAATCAGAAAAAATTCGATAACTGCCCTCCCTGCTAAATTCATACTTTGTATTCAAATTGACAAAAATCAACTCCCTACGATGATTATTCAAAATGACTTTTTATTGTCCTAGTCTCGGAGGATCAAGATTCCAAAAACTG